TCCGTTTGTTCCCCAGCCACCGTGCACAGTCCATGCAGTCCCTACCACCACAGGAATCTGCGAGAGCGCTGTCTCTTTAAATATCCAAAATAGTCAAGCTGCTTTTTAAACCTACAAAATGGCGGCGCCCGCCGGACCGGCAAAAGTCCATAGCTCAGCCCTCCTTTCTCTTCACCTTCTCCGTTTGTCCCCCAGCCACCGAGTACAGTCCTCCATGCAGTCCCTGACTAGCAGGGTGATTTTTAGGTTAATTCTTAAGTCCTACCACCACTCGGGAATCCCCAAGCTATGTGTGCCATCAGGATTGCTGCCAGACCGCAGCTCCGTCTGTCTCCTTTTTTGGTATTTTCACGCAAATTCTTCCACTAGTTGGGGTTTAGTCCACTTGTATATCCTTCCCTTCAAGGCTCAGGGATCCAGGATTATCTTCTGTGTCTGTGTTAATTGATTTCCCTTTTCTTTGTTGAAGAGGGTCTGTGCATTCTTTCTGCCTAGTCCACCATCTTGCCGGATCTCTGTCCTTAGAAATCTTTCATAGAGTTTGGGCTTTATTATAGAAGGCATTTGTTTAAGAAGCTTCCAGAAGACTTAGTGGAAATCTTCCTAATTGTTTGACCACCAAGGTTCTGGTCTTTGCCTAGTACTTAGCTAGTACTTTTGGTACCTGGTAGTTCCTTCCTGCCTTAGCTTCCATCCTTCAATTAATTTTGGTTTGTACCACAGCCGATGTATATTTCTGATGGTTTCAAACTTAGGCTCTCTGGTACTAAGCCTCTTGCTGAACTGAACTCTTCCAGACTTTTTCCTATCAAGCAGCACTGCTAGCTCAGAGGCATATCTTAACCCATTGCTATTAGTGTTCTGTTTTTATTATATTGATGATTGTTCATGATTATTATATTACAGAAATGGTAAAAACAACAACAACAGTGCCATTGAGTTGATTCCATAGCAATTCATAGCAATCCTATAGGACACAGTAGAACTGCCCTATAGGGTTTCCAAGGCTGTAAATCTTTACAGAAGCAGACTGCCTTATCCTTCTCCTGTCG